AACCCCAGCATCAAGCGAGCTCCACCTCCCTCCAGGTCTGAGTCCCGAGTGAGCACCCCAAGCCCTGGGGCCCACCAGCCATAAATCACAAGTGGAGATGCTGGGGGTTCCAGGGGCCGTTGCCTCGGGATCCCGAAGCCTCCCGGAGCCAGGGAACAGTTTCTGTCTGTGCTGACTCCACAGTCAGGATCAAAACAGCATGAAAGAAATCGAGCGAGAACGTCGGCAGGAGCTGGACTTCTAAAACCCCCTTCCGCCCCCATCGGCTTCAATATTAAAAAAACCCCTAGGAGCCTCAGACACTGTATTAATTAGTGCAACCACCCATGAAAAGTTGGGTTTGGAGCGGCATTCTTTGCCCTGTGTGAAAAACCAAGTCTAATAAACAATTGTTAAGTTGGCCTGTTGCCGTTGGTAAATTACATAGCATTAAAAAAATAATGCTTTTCATATTAGGCACTAATTAAAGGTTGGGACAGCTTTAAACAAGAGAGGGAGGGGGGAAATCAAAGAAAATATAAAAATGTTCTTTCAAGAGTTATGGGAGGTTAATAAAGTATGTCTGTTAGAGTGAGCCTACTTTGCCCCTAGCTACAGCCAAACTGGAGCCACCACAATTGGGTCTCAATAAGATAATGATATTCCTTTCTCTGCTATTAAAAGCCTCCCAGTGCAAACTTAAAATGATTTATTTAATTTAGGAAATTATGAGGTGTAACTTCAAAGCCCGAGCCGTTAGTAATGGAAAATACCAGGTTGTTTAAAATTATAATAATAATTGTTTGGAGGACTCAGGACATCAAAGTGTTTTCATCAACAAATGCAGAGGGGTCCGGAGGAGGTTGGAAGGAGTCAGAGGAGGTGGATGGAGTTTGGATTTGATTATTACAAACCTTATCAGGGCAGCCTTCAGGATTCGGGAAGCCTGGTCCTGGGCTCTGCTTTGAAGCAGGATGGTTTGGAAACTAATTTTACTGCTTTTTATTTACTACTTAGGAGAGAGGAGGTGAGAGGGGTTACGGGGGGGGGGGAGAGGGTTAGAGGGGTCCAGGAGATGACTGAGGCTTTTGCGTTGCTCAAGCCACTTTACTTAGTTGAAAAGGCCTACAGCATCTCCAATCTGGAAGAAGAAGGAAAAAAAAAAAATTTTGTGTGTGATTACACTGAAGGGGGAAACAGCACAAGCAACTTCATCAAGCTGGCCCTGTGATTTCAGGGAGGGGTGTGTGACGTGGGCTCTTTTATAAATGAGGTTTATGCCGTTCCAAAGCCAGCAGTGGAGAGAGAGTGGGGGTTGGGGAATGGCCTCTCCAACCCGTGGCAAATGAGAGGCTTTTATAGCAAAGAATGGCCGTGGGAGTTTTCATTCGGTCAGACAAGGTTCTGCTCAAAGACAGGGATCCTCTTTTCAGTCGGGTCAGGCAGACATTTCCCCAGTGCCTTCTCTGCCAGGTCCTCACTACCTACCTCCTGCTGGCCTTGCCCCAGCCTTGCCAAGGCAGGGTTCTGGGGTTCAGGCTGTGCCTCAGGTCCATGTGCTAAAAGAGCTGGGGCCCTCCTTCAGGAGTCCCCTCATAGCAATGGACAGTGGAAGGGGGTCCAAAGAGAGGTTCCAGACCTGGGGCTCCCAGGGTTTGGGAATGTGGGGGCTCCTCAGGCAGAACGGACCATTTCTGAGACAGCTAGCTCCTCTAGGGCCTACTTTTGCCAATGCTAATGGCCACCTCCTCTGCTCACACTTAGGCCTGGATTCCACCGTCCCTCACCTGCACTGTGATCCTAAGTGAGCCACCTCTCAGGGCCTCAGTTTCCTCAACTACAAAATGGCATTTATAATATCTCCCCTCCCACCATCGTGTAATGATTATATGAGATCACCTGTGAGAAAACGGTCCTTCTGCACTTGACACATCTCAGTGGCTCAATAAATGTGATTTTTCTTCATGACCCCTGCTATTTCCCGAAAGCAGAGGCTGTCTTTCTGGAAAGTTTTGGAGGAAAAGCGTCCAAAGTCCAAAAGGACGGATAGATTTTTGTACCAGGCTTCTAACAAGGAGTTCTGAGGATGTCCCAAGCCCGCACCCTGGCACCTTCCGCTTTAATGTACCTTGCCGGGCTGCGCCGACCCTTGCTTGGTCCTCCTGAGGCTGCCTTCCGGTGACAGAGGTAGCTTGTAATTCTGGCCTCTGAAACACTTAACGTATCTGATCAAGCTGAGCGAGGCCCAGACCTGGCGACAGCAAACCGAACCTGGGACCTGGTATTCGGTGAGAATCCCCAAAGCAAGGGCGCCACCCGACCCCACTGCCCCGGGCAGTTGTGAGGGCCTGGCCAACACGCCCCAGCCTCTACTCTGTACCCTTTGACTACCTCGTATCTCTGGAAGTGAGTTGTGTTTTAATTCCTTTTCTGAGTCTCAATGCTTCTTCTTACTTCCAACACCTACAACGAACTCAGAATTTGCGCCCAATTCGCTGTCACCTAGACAGATTCTTATGTACCCTGCTTGCTTCTCAAGACGCACCACAGACTCTCCGAGTCGCACTCCCAGGATCGCGACCTCTCCTGGGTGAGCTGAGCCCTGACTCGGAGCCCGAGTCTCCTAATTCCCCCACCCCGGTGGAGATCGCCCGAGGCTGCGCGGTCCAAGCGGCGCCGGGAAGGAAGCTCGGTGGACTGGCTAATTAGGGTTCCAACTTGGCGGCTGATGACGAAACTAGGAAGGGGTTTAGCTTTTGGAAAATGCATCCCTCAAAGAAGTAGCGCGGGATTCCGAGCCGGGATCTAGAGTTCGGGCCTTGGGGACCCACCAGGATGGCAAAGGCTCTTATTTGGAAATATTTGGGACGCTCTGGCAACTCAGAAGAGCGGCGGCGGAGAGCAAAAGAAAAATAGGTCCCCAACTGCGGAGTAGGCCCCTAGGTTTGAATGGTGCGCCGGCGCGTGAAGTGTGTGCACTCTGAGACAAGTTTCGCGACCCGAAAACGAAGGTCCTCGGCACACACCTGCAAAGTGCGCGTGGGCACAAAGTAACGCGAGACGAAAGCGCCAGCCCTAGTAGGTGCCAGGTGCCAAAGTTTATCCCCACCTCGCAGTTCTGCATCAGTAAGTTTTCATTCACTCCCTTCTGCCCTCAGTTCCCGCTGAATTCGTCGCTGCTGAATTATTTGTTCAAATGAAAGCTGAGTTTAAGATCCTTCGCAGCCTTCCCCAACCGTCCCATTTTAATGGTGATGTTTCAAGCCCCAACCTGGCTCCCCTCCTGTATCCAGTGGGAAGGGGAGGCTGGACCCTAATGGAAGCTAGAACGAAAAAATCACCTTCCCGCTTCAAGCAGAAAGGAGCATTTGTTCAGGCCCATCTCCTTGGGAGGAGAAAGGATTGGTAATGGAATAAGATTTGACACACTCCTGAAAGGGCAGCCGGTATCCATCCCCCAAACCAGTGAATGCCTTTAGTCACCATCTCCTTTTGCAAAAAAAAAAAAAAAAAAAAAAAAAAAAAAAACTACAGGTTTTTATACTCGACTTTTAAATTTGTTTTGCTTTCGGGCAGATTTGAACATCAAGATTTTCCCTTGATCTGTGCAAACTACTCAGAACCTTGTATGATTCCTCTGCCCTGCCACTTCTTCTCAACTCTCTTTTACCATAGTTTGCAAAACACCTAAGAGCAATTCCACCTCTAGTCCATGAGTAACACAAACTACTGGAGCAAACACTTCAAAGTGTTTCATAATTTTCAGTTGTCCCAATGGCTTGAATCAGGCAGCAACTCTTGATTTATTCGAATTAAAATAATAAAAACACCTGCCCACCCATTTGGGTGGCGTTTTTGGGCTAAGCCCAGCTAAGAGCAGAGAAAATAGAAAACCAAAAAAGCGCCTCTTAAAATAATCGTGAGTTTGGACAAACTTTAACTGCAATAAAACAAATGTTTAATTTAATTCAGAGTAAGAGATACGAAATAACTCTTCAATAAAATATATAAAATTGTACAAGGCACCCTTTCAAAGGGATGTAAATATAGTGGGACGGCCAGAGGGGGGTGGGGGCGTGGTGAATAAAAAGGTGAAATACCAGGGAGCTAAATGGGTTGTTTGACAACACCATTTTTAGCAAGTCGAAACATGGCTTTACCCTCTGCCCCCAACATATTAAAAAGTATATAAATTTTCTAATAAGTTTAGCACTTAAAATAGATACACACACAGAGAAAGCATGATTTTTTTTTCCTGAATCTATCAAGTGTTCAAAAATACTTATATAGTCAATGTTTATAAGATATTCATTTTTTTAAGCTTATAATTATTCCATATCCCACCTAGGGGGAAAAAAAAATCACCTTTGCAGTGTGTAAGGATTGACATACCAAGTATTTCACAGAAACCCTCAATTCCTCCTGACATGCTTTAACTTTTCGCTCTCCAATTATCTGGAGTTGAGCAACAGCCTTGAAGAGGAATTAGGTAGTATCCCCATTTTCCTCCTTACCCCCAGGCATTCACAGGATTCTTCTCATCCCCCTTTTATTGATCTTAAAAAGCAAAGCAAGACACCAAAGTAAATCTTTTTTTAACAATGTGGTGAGAAGGGGAGAAATAGAGCCAAATATGAATTTTTTTAGGCACCTAGAAATGCAAAAATGTGACATGCTCCCTTCACTTCAAGGAATCTCTCCTTATCTACTTTCTATGTACATTGTGTCTAATTCTAGTATTTGTTTTCTGTAAGAAGTCAATCACCCCCATCAAAATCAGCAAATTTGCAGACTCATTTTAGCAACTATTTTGTCTCCCCCATTAAAAAAAAAAAAAGCAAGAAGTGGACTTTAACAGTCTTTTTTTAGGAAGGTGATATATATATATATATACACACACACACATAAATATATATATATATATATACACACACACACATTATATATATAATATATATATAGTGTATATATAGAGATGTACATAAATTTTGCCTTTCAAAATAGTTTGTATTTTTACGTCAGCTCTATAAAAATGTATTATATATATATATATATATATATAAACTGTCAGAGCCAATCTTTGCGGAAGGAGAATGGGGTGTCTGGAAGAGTACACCAAAAAACAGGGCTTGGTGCCTCTAGCCTAAACAACATCAATTCAAACTATATAATGGAGCCCTGTCAGCCTGGCTGCTTAGGGTGGTGCACAGGGCAGGGTTTGCAGGAGCACTTGGTTGGTACTGCGTGCTTGGAGAGGGGAACCCTTTTAAAAATAAGCATCCATCATGGAGTCTATTGATCTTGTCTTCCTTAGGATAAGTGATACATGCCATATCCCACTGGTGTGGCATAGAGTCCGACGGGCGGGATGGGGAGCACAGGTCTATGGAAAGGGTAGGAGGCCCCGTAGAGGGACGCTGCTTGCAGAGGCGAGTTGATAGGGAAAGGGAGGCTAAAGCCAGAGGGCAGCATGGGTTTGGCAGCCATTTTCAGCTTTTCCAGTTCTGCCTCCTGCAGTCTTTTCGCCTTGGCCCTACGGTTCTGGAACCAGATTTTGACCTGGGTCTCTGTGAGGTTCAGAGAGCTGGAGAACTCTGCGCGCTCTGCAATGGAGAGGTACTGTTTCTGCCGGAACTTGCGCTCCAGAGCCAGGAGCTGGGACGTGGTGAAGGGCGTCCGAGGCTTCCGATTGGTCTTGTGTTTCCGCAGGGTGCAGGTGGTGGGGCTCATATGTCCTAATGAACAGAGATCAGAGGCAATCAGCAAAATAAAAGTGGCTTTTCTCTCCTCTTTAGTACATGCAGGTCTTCCCTCTAAACTGAAAACAATTAAGAATATAAATAATATATATGATGTTTTGGTTTTATCTTTCAAAAAGGTAAAAACAAAAACCAACTCAGTTGATTCCAACTCAAGATGACCCTAAGTGCATCAAAGTAGAACTATGTTCCATAGAGTTTTCAAGGCTATGACTTTTCAAAAGCAGATTGAAAAGGCCTTTCTTCCAGAGTTCCAAACTCTGGGTGGGTTTGCACAAACAACCCTTAGGTTAGTATTTAAGTGCTCAATTGTTTGCAGCCCACAGGGACTCTAGTTCAAAAAGGTACTTCTGTCAAAACCATGTTTGTTTATTTTTTGGGGGGAGGAGGGGTGGGAAAGGACATTTAAATGGATCAATTGCTTGCTGAAAAAAATGAGTATCTTTACCAAGAAAAAAAAGGTAATTTAATGATATAATAGAGCTGTTCTATACAGACAATCAACAACAGCCTTTGAGTCATGGAAATAGAATATATATCAACAGATCCCCCTCTAATTAATCAAGCTTGCTGAGTGTTCTCTGAAAAATAAAACCCCACCCCTCTCTTTTAAGCTTAATTTCTTTCGTTTTTAAAATAGGAGAGGGTGTCACGATAATCCTCAGTTCCCTTGGATACTCTAAGTCACACAGAAGGAAAATTAAAAGGGCCTTATAAACTGGTTTAGCTATTTCCTTTGGTCTCCCCTCTCTGAACCTGGATAAATTGGATTGCTTCAGCCTATTTATGAAGGATAATGGTGCAGATAAGGTCTTTAGTGAATTAATAGAATCTTTGGATTTGGGGGCAGCCCTATGCAATAAACAACCACACAGCTGTCATTCCATCCCATCTACAGATTATAAAACCTGAACATCATTTTATAGATCTGTACGTGGGGTAAGTTTCTTGGCCGAGTGCTGCTGTAACATAAACTTTACTAAGAAGGAGGGAAAAATTAGCTCGCCCATAAATGTAAATGTCAGGGGAAATCTGGCTGCCTCCGAATTGAGAGCATGTGTTGACATCTTAGTCATCTCCTCTCCTCATTCTATGGTTTTGGAGCAAATGTGTAAATGATTAGTTTGTCTCCAGAATTTAGAAGTAGGGAGTAACAAGCAAAATAAAATTATGTCAACAGTATCCAGACTCCGTATTTAAAATGGATTCAATTTTAAGAAGTCACAGGACTGGGACATCCCTTGTCATTTTACAGCATCAACTAACTTTGGGTTTGTTTTTTCCTCAATGCGGCAGGGGAGGTATGGGGATAGAATACTAAACAATTAATTTTCCGCATTTGGCTTTTATGAGCTATGCTAATTTCCCAAATGTAGCCACAGTAGTAACTCCAATATACTCATGGGGAGAATGTCGCATTTCTTGTTTAGTTACTTTGGTGGCCCAAGAAAGAGTTTACACTTTATACTTAAGGGTGACACAGCCCAAGTTCCAACCCTGCCTCCAGTTCCAATAAAAGATGGATTTGTCCTATTGTCAAATTATTAACCATCCCTTAAGACACTAAAAATGAGAGCACAGTAGTGGGTTCTGCAATCAATTTAGAAAAAAGGAAAAAAGCAATTGGGGGAAGTGATGGATAAAGAAAATGCTACAGAAGTTTATACTCTTGCATATACTAATCCCTAAACAAGCAGGGGCGCCTAGTTAATTTACAAATAAACTCACAACACTGCCTGAGACCCGCAAAAGTCTCACACTTCACAAACCCAGCCTGGCTGTCCAGAGGACCCAGGTGTCTCAGCTCATATAGCAAGTTCCTAGTGTCTACACTTATTCTGCTCTACATGGGGCTTTTGAAGTATCTTCTTGCCTGGGGCAGGATAATAATCCTGGCTGCTCCTTGGGACTGCATTTGAATTATGAAATCCTGGGAATGGAGATCGCACTTGTGAATCACAGCCATAAAACGCAAGGATTCCTCCCAATGCTCCCCCCAACCCCACTCTAAATCAGCCAGAGGAAGGATGCGATTATAGAAAGCAAAACAGCATTTATCCTACTTCCTCCAAATAACAAAACCAGGCCCAGGCGGGATCCGTGGCTGGCGGCTGGTGGCTGGCTCCCTCCTGCCCGAGGACCTGTCACTTGGCGCTCTGGAGCTCCTCAAGACCACAGGACTCCCCCTGCCTCCTTTAGACACCAAACACCAACAACTCACTTTTTGTGTTAAATTAATCCCTTCATCAAAAACTCAGGCTCTTCTCTGGAGAAGGTCATATTTAGGGTCCAAGGATCGCTTACCCAGACTGGGAAGTTTGAGGTAAAGGGCAGGGATGGTTACAGTATAAGTAGGGAATTGCTGTTTGAGACCCCTGAGGCCTATGAATGCCAGAAAGGGTTAGAATCTTTGATGTGTTAGTGGGAATGGCCCCAGGCCTTAATGTATTAGCACTCAATATCTGTTAAACAAATTAAGTACCTTAATGTTCCTGAGCCCCATTCATTATCAATAAAATGGGTAAATAATTTGAATCCCCTCACTGTGGTTTGGAGAACTACATTTTAGATGACATTAGAGTTCCCAGAGCCCTATCTGCCACCTGGAAGGTGATCATTAAATGTTCCCTAGCTCTTTTTGTCAAGCCCAAACCCAGCTCACTCCCATTTCTCTGAATGCTGCAGTAAGGCCCTCATCTGTTAAGGAGAGGTGGCCACAATGTACCTAGATCAGATAAGATAATACGGTGAAGAGTTCAGTAAAGCACTGTGCAAACGTGAGTTTAAATTCTTTGAGTCCTTAATCTCTTTGCCCTTTGAGTCTTTCGGTTTCTAACAGACTCTGCCAGAGGGGACAGCCACTGATGGTGGTATGGGGCCTTGTTTTGTTCACAAAATACTGTGCATCTCAGTCTTGGAGAGCTGAATGATGGAAATGGAAAAAGTTGTGATTCACTGGGCTTTAGAGAATGTTCCTCCAGAGAGCTCTACAGTGTAGCGCTGAAGGTAGGGGGCAGAGGTCTTAAAGGCCAATATATAGGAGTCAAAGGAGCTATAGGGAATGATTTCTTCAAATGACTAAAGAACTGGGGGGTCCTAAGCAGGTCCTACTGGGCCTGACTCAGCCCTCTAGCCTCACTGGGCAGAACATAGGGTGTAGGTGGGGGACTCAGCTTAGCACTCTGCCTAGGAGGATCAAAGGATCCTCAAAAGAACAGATTAGACATCAACACCCTGAGCTCATTTCAGTGGTTGTTGGTGACCTGGGACAAGCAAGTTCAGTCCCCTTAAAGACATAGTGTTCACATCTATTAGAGAAGATTACCAAACCCTGTACTTCTCTCCTTACACTTCGGGGTTCAGGCCACGATCCGACGAAGTAATGAACACCAACTGCTTTGTAAACTCTCCAGTGCTGTTGGAATGCTGTTAATTATTATTATTAGGCAAGCCAAGTCCTAGAGTTTCTGACCCCTGCCCGCGACAGGAGAAGCTTTGAACCTCGCCAGTGAGGAGCTGGCTGCGCGAAGTACACAGAGACATGTCCTCACAGAATCTGTCTCTGCCCTTATCTTTTCATGAAATCCGGCTTCGACACCCGCGGATCCCACGATAAAGACCACAATTTCTCCACTGTCGGATTAGACTTCAGTTAGTTCGTCTTGAAAATGAGCCGCACCTCGCAGGGTAGTTGGGAGTTTTGAAAGGAAAGATTAAGATACCCGTACCTGCTATATGCTGAATGTTCATTAAATGTGGATCCCTTCACTCCCCAAAGCCCCAGGTGGACAGTGAAACAAAAATATGCTAAGTGACTGGAAAAACCCTCAACCGAGCGAGCCAGTAAACTCAGCTGGGGGTCTCTCTTCAAAGCCCAGCCAGTACTGCCAGGGAATGCGGACACGGATCCAGGGGCTGATGCTTCTGCCGCACTGACTTCCCAGTGTAACAAGGAGTCAACAAACTGTTGTCTTGCTTTCCAGGAAGTATACTGAAGAAGGGTCTCGGTACCCCCATCAGGGCACATCCGCTCCCAGCTCCCTCCAGAATACTTCACGCACCCCTTTCCCCTGCCCCGGCGCTCACTCACTTGGCGGCGGCGAATATCTGCCGGGTTCCTGCATCCACGTCGCTCCGTCTTCCGAATTTTCCGACTTGACCGAGGCAGTCTCGAAGGGCTTGACCAGCGGCCCGGGGCTGTGCGCTTCCCGGGCACCGTGTCCCGGCAGCAGCAGCGGCCGCACGGTGGCCGCAGCAGAGGCGCTTTCCGCCGGCCGCGGGGACGCCTCTTTGGGCGGCTTCTTGTCCGACATGAGCGCCTCTACGCTAAAGGGCAGGCTGGAGACTTTGACGCGGCGCTCCTCTGCGCCCCCCTCGGCGCCCCCGGGCCCCGGGCCCGGCCCGGCCACCATAGCCGGGCCCTCCTCATCGGACGAAAACAGGTCGTTGCCTTTGGACGGAGAAGCCATGACTTCTCTGTCCTACTTAGCTCCCGAAGCCGGACTCCGCTCGCAACCTGGAAGCAGCAACTCAAACTTTTTGGGGGGGAGATGGGAGGGGCGCGCCAGAAGCCGAGCTTTTCCTCCAAAGGGAAGTGGGAGACAAGACTCAGCCAATCCGCGCCGGCCCTGGCACTGACGCCACAGATACTCGTCTCCTATTGGCTGCCCCGGAAAAGTCTAGGGCCTTTTTTTTTTTTTTTCCTGTTTGAAATAAATTAGGAGTTAATTACAGGCGCAGTCAGCAAAGTTGTTATTAGGCGATCCCTCAAGGGTTATAATCACACCAAAACTGAAAAGTCCAAGGCGTAATTAAGGCTGATTATTTAAAGAGGAAGTTCGCTGAGTACTATTTCTTATCTCTTTTGACCCTTCTTTAAAAGGTACTCGGTGCCCCCTGTCCTGCAGCCGAAACGCGTTCAAAATCCGCAACTGACATTAACTTACTCAGCATTAATTTATTAACTTATTTGGCTCCTGCTATGCGCCGAAACTGAACTGACTTGACCACTTTAGGAGTCAGCACTGAAAAATAAGGGCCAGGATCCCTGCCAAGGGAAATAACACATGTGTAGCGTTTAAAAGAGTGCCTTGCACTAGGCAAGCGAACAATAGCGATGGCCATTACTATTATTCCTGGTTCCTCTAGAAGAAGAGACTGAGGGAGCCAGAGACTCCCAAATAACTCGGCCTGGGGAATTTCAACCAGGCGTCCTCAGGTCTTTCACTCGAACGCAAAACCAGCACACGCATAAAAACCTGGACTCTATATGTTTTCTTTCTCCTGAATTTCTTCTCTGGGCGAAATCTGGATCCGATCTTTTTTTCCAAGACTGCGTGCAAATGTGTGTTCGCGCGTTTGTTTTTAAGCGTGTGTTTGTCATATGTATTTGCATGCCAGTTTTACCTTCGAAATTGATGGGAGGTGCGGATAATATATAGAGCTTCCCTTCCCCTTCCAAATCTCAGGCTGGATTCCAAGTTTGCTCAACCCAGGCCTGTGTCTCTTACTGGGGAAGCACATTTTTGTCCATTGCACTGATTGTAAAAGAAATCAGATATCCCCACCCCATCCCTCCTTATGTCTCAGAGTTGTGATGATCACCTCTGTCCCTGGAAGTGGAGAGCATGCTTCCAGTGCGCAGAGGCTGGCTTCTCAGGCCATGGGGCCAGTACTTATTACTTCAAGTTACTTTCCAGATATAGTTGCCTTTTCCTATATCTAGGAGAATATCTTGCGATTTATGAGACAAATAGCGAGTCACTCAGCTCAGGATCTCCTCGCCTACAGTTGATGCTTGCTAAATAGTTCCTAGAGTATTGGAAGGAAGAAGCATTGCTTTTAAGTACTTAAATGACCACGTTTGGCGACTACTTCCCAGTATTTGCTGTTTCAAGAGTCTTAGAAACTTGACCTCCAGTTCAATCTACAGACCCTTAAACAATCCTTCCCAGAGCACATCTCTGATTCTTCACCCCAAAGCTCTGCCTGGAATAAAACTGAACTGGTCCAGGGGAAAAAAAAAAAAAAAAAAAAAAAAAAGAAAAACCATTATCTAAAGCCCAAAGGATGAAAACCAATCTTTATTGGCCAGTTGATTGAATTTGATTAGGAGTGGTCCTGGATAAAGTTTAAAAGTCATGTCCCAAACACTGTCTTCTAAAACATTGAAAATGTCTTTCCCCACACAAAGAACACACACATTTTCTTACAAACTGGAAGCTCAGAGAAAGTTAAAAAAAAAAAAAAAAAACTTATTAAAGCTATCTGGAGATGTATGCATTTTCCCCTTGAGTCATACCTGGTGACAATTGACTTGATATGCATCTCAAATACAGTACAGGTAAATCCAGATTAAGTTCTGTGCCTTCCAGTTGTACACAGCAAGGTGCAAGTTACATATATATTTTGGAAGGAAACCCGAAATTCGTTTAGCCCTCAACTGCCAAAGTGTACAAAAGGGTTCAGTTTGATTCAGTTGGGCTCGACCCAGCCACTGTTTTATAATCATTCCTGAAAACTAATTGTTAATATTTGTCAGTTTAGGGACACATCGATTTTTTTTTCTTGAAAATTTAAAAATAAAATAAAATAAAACTGGGGCTGCTTTATCTTAATGACCTTCTCTGGAAGAGAAGAAGCCAGATTTCCTGTACTATTCTTGGGTCTTGATGTCCAGGCAGAAGAAAGAAAACGATGAAGGTAGAAATAGCGGAATAGTAGACTAGTTTTGTTTCCCCCTAATAACTGGTGTTTAAAGTCAGGATGCCAAGCTCTGGACAGCACCAAGAGAGATTCTCACGGGGGTAATAAGCCTACCCAGCATGCCCTCTGCCACCTCCCTCCTCAGCTCCCTGCTGGGGAGAAGACGTCCCAGTAAAGGGTCTCACTTCTATTTGAAAATGGGTCCAACCTCAACACAACTCTGTGGAAAACCCCATATGGGCATTTGCTTCAGCTTTGGCTTAGTTTTCAGAAACTTCATTCAACTTTTCCCTGAGGCGTGACCTTGGGCGCGTTACCTCACCTTCCTCAGCCTGCTTTTTTTATCTCTAAAATTAGATAATAGCACAGCTTTCGTGGTAATTACATTCAATAGGGTACATAAAGTAACCAGATGGTGAAGAGGGTCAATAGTAAAAACCATTACTACATTTTAACAGCAATAACGATTTATCGAATGCATTCTCTCCAAGTATCCAAAATGAGCCATTATGCCTGCCTTCACCTGGCTCACGATATTCTTTGTAAAATCTCCACCGCTGGGAATTTGGCTCCGCCTGAACAAAGTCATGGCTTAGGTATAGTCCCTTAGCGGAGGACTGGCCTTGGCACTTAGGAGGCGCTCAGTAAATGTTCTCGGTGATGTTTACGTAGCTGCAGTATTCACAGGCAGTCAAGCTGGGTTCCAATCGGAACTCAGCCATCCCCAATGCCAACTCTGCACAGTGGTTTAGTACGTGGATCTATCCTCCAGGAGACCATTTATTTTTCCCAACACACCGCTCCGGGAGAAGATTGTTCCCCCAACTCTCACCCCATCACTATTTAAAAAATAAGAAGCCTAAGGCTAGGAAGCGTCAGGTACGCGGCCTGGGTCACGCAGTTAGGAAGTGGAAGACCCGGAGATGTAGCCTCGCTGCACAGACATCTGCGTGCAGACCCTCAGCCCTCCACCCTTCTCCATTCTCCTTGGCATTTCGCACAGGCCCAGCCAGTGCACAGAGCAGCTGCGCGCGCGCGAGTTGGGAGGAAAAAAAAAAAAAAGTGCTCTAGCGAACTGGTGAGCGCAGCGCGAAGATCGCAGCTTCTGCAACCCCAAGGAACGATCACTGGATCCCAACGGCTAGGAGGAGGCGGGGGAGGGGCAGAAGAGGGGGCTGTAGACGAGCCAGGGCTGCGGGCAGGCGCCAGGCGCGGGGAGATGAAAGGCGGGCTCCGGGGGAAGGGGCTGCGCCGGGTGACCGGCTCCAGCCGCGCCGGGCGCCCCGCCCCCGCCCCGCCCCAGCTGCCCGGGGCAGAGGCGGCTGCCCGCGCCGGAGCCGCGTTAATTGCTCCGGCCCCGCCACTCAGCCTGAGCGGAGCCGGGACAACCTAGCTCCCTGAGGAATGACAATTCGCCCTAATGGGACAACCTCACTCCCAGAGGAGTGACAATTCCTCGTAATGGGCCGCTCGTTAGCGGCCTATTCTCCCGAACCCGGGTATCAGAAGCGGGCAGACACGCGGGCGCCAACGTCAGCCAGCAATTCCACAGCATCGCCCAACCCCCTCGACCAAAGATTCGCTGTGTGACCTCGGGCAAAAGGTTGCTCCTCTCTGAGTTCATTTTTCTTACCTGTGTGGTATAGGGGCGCTCTGGTGCCATAGTACCTAAGGCATTTGACTGCTAAGCAGAAGGCTGGCGGTTCAAACCCAATTGCCACTCCTCAGAAGGAAGATTGTGCGATCCACTTCCATAGCGATACCGCCTGAGAAACCCAAGAAGGGGTCGCTATGAGTCGCATCCGACTCTAAGGCAGTGAGTTTGGTTGTTTGGGTTTTGGTGCGGTATAGAGTGAAGATGGAGAAAATCAGGCCTCAGTGAGGCAGACTTATTTACAGACATTTAGAGGCGACTTAAGGAGCTCTGGTGGGGCAGTGCCTACGGTATTTGACTGCTTACCAGAAGGTTGACGGTCAAACCCACCAGGGACTCCGCTGAAGGAAAACTGGGCAATCTACTTAGGTAAAGTTTTACCGCATCTGAACCTCAGTAGGGGTCACTAGGAGTTGGAACCGACTGGATGGCATTGGGCTCGATTTTTTGTTTTATTACCGAGTCAAACTGCTAGGAAGGGAGTGGACAGGCGCCCATCCTGAGTACTTCCCTTGTTTGTGAACTCCTGGGCTTTCAAGGTGGCTTTCTGCTGGTCCTGCCCACTTAAGTCAGAACACAGGTACGAACCCGGGTCTGGAGCCCCAGCGCGAGGGAAGCAGGCCTTTGCTAAAGCGCTAAGCAGGTTACTGAAGGCGGGTCATGGCCTGAGATTTCATTGGCTTCCCGTTTTTGAGATGAACTGGAGGAGTGGAAAGGAGAAAGGCTGGCTGAGCCGAATTCGACGAGGTCGCCGGGAAGATACTTCCGACGAGGGCAAACTGGGAGCTGGAGTGGGAAGTGCTGACAGATGCTGCGCCTCCTCGTGGGTCCGGTAGATCAGTTGATGTTAGGGGGTGGGGGCTCCAGTCTGTCCAAGCAACAGAGGGTTGCTTACTGGGAAAGAGATGAGGGTTCTTTTCCTTCTGTAGTTCTGGGGTCCAATCCAGACCCTACTTATCATTTGTCACCATCACTTCAACCAGACTTCAGTTTCCTCTGTTGGAACCGGAAAAGTGGGCATTTTAATGCCCAGTCCTAGGTGAGAAACCTTACCACAAAAAGTAGCCCAGTGTGGAGGCAAGGGAGATAGTTCTTCCTGCAGCCTCACAGAACTGTGATGAATCAATATAGGGTCAAGCTGTTTATTTCCTTAGTGAATGTAGGCAAATGCTTTTGCACTCAAGTTCCCATCATTGT